CTCTTCCCTCCAGGAAGAAGGAGAAGATTACAAACATTTTCATTATAAAGAGTATTAACTAACACTTCTGTGATCAGCTGATACTCCTTGGAGTTCCCCAAGACCTTTTATAGCTGCTGCAGTGTTGGCTACTGTTTCTTCCTGGGGGAAAAGATACAGGAGGGGACAATGATGCAGCTTGATCATACAGGCTGTGAATTTAATGCACGTGTGGTCCAGCCAGCTGTATTGCTTCTGCTGTGAAGCACTCAATTTAGAACATAGAGAACATAGAATAATAGAGTTGGAAGGGTTAATGGCTTTTGGCAGCATGCCCAGGCTTTCAATTAGCATGAGCAGCTGCTCTCAGCTGCTGCATTTACTTTGGGGCTGACTTTTTTAAAAAAGGGGGAATGGCTATTTTAAGTTTTCTGCATTGTTTTAGTGGTTCCTGGCACTGTTCTTTTGGGGTGTACTTCCCTCACTCTTCTTGAAAGCCTCTAGTGATGGAGCACCCACAACTTCTGAAGACAAGCTAGTCCATTAGTTGATAGGTCTCACCCTTAGGAAATTTCTCCTTCGTCCTAGGTTGCTTCTCTCTTTGGTTAGTTTCCATCCATTGCTTCTTGTTGTGCCTTTTGGTGCTTTGGAAAATAGATTGACTCCCTCATTTTTGTAGGAGCTCCTCAAATTTCCTGACAGAACAATTAATCAGTGGAACAACTTTCCTCCAGAAGTTATAAATGCTCCAACACTGGAAGTTTTTAAGAAGAGATTCGATAACCATTTGTCTGAAATGGTGTAGGGTTTCCTGTCTAAGTAGGGGGTTGGACTAGAAGACCTCCAGGGCCCTTTCCAACTCTGTTATTCTATTCTTTTCTAAATATTGGAACGGTGCTATTTTATTGTGCTATTTTATTGTGAGTTGGACTAAGAAGAAATTTCCTAAGGGTGAGACCAATCCAGTTGGCCACACCCACCCAGTCACATGACCACCCAGCCACGCACACCCAGACAGGTTGTTAAATTATTTGATTCCCACCACTGAACTACTCCCTGGACTCCAGGTAGTTTCATATAAAACAAAAAAAAAAATTGAGCAAAACACAGATTGTGAACTTGTAACAAAAAGAAATGTGGGATTTTTTTTTCTTGGAGTTTTTCTTGTCTTCATGGAATCTAACCAAGTAGGCAATAATTTTAGCAGTATCGCACAATTACATAGTAAAGCTATTTAATTTTTTCTATGTTGTAAAAGTATCTGTTCAAAAATCCTAGAGTAAGCTAATGATGACTCTACATTGAATATTCTGATTAGTTACTGCTTCTATTATATTTTATAGAGTAAAATTCACTTCAAGTCAAGTTTGATTAGTGATAACTTCAAGGGCATTTTAGTGTAGTTTTCTTGGCAAAAATATGAAAGTCATTTGCCATTGCTGGCTTCTGAGGTGTTTTTAGGGCAAGGGCTTCCAAACAGAAACTAAATTGAACCCTGTTTAGCTGCTGCCACCTAGCTGAACATCATATATTATACATATTTTTCCCCCAATTGTGCAGCAATTTCCTGTTGTTTACCTATTTGCATGTACATCTTTCCAATCTAGAAAAAGATCTTTTCTGCAGCCAGCTGGAACTCCAGTTCCTATGACATGGACCAAGGGGAGATGCACATAGATTTGTGATGGATTAAATCCATTGTCAGGTTATCAGAAAGCGTTGGTATCTTTCTTGGATTTAATTGTACTGAGACTTTATGTCGATTTTGGTATGCAAAGTAACTAGATGTCTGCTATTTGCTTAGGAAGACAAGCTCATTATCTTAAGACAACTTGCCAATATAGAGCAGTATAGTCATTATTTGAGTAGTAAGCTAACCATAACTGGCTAGAGAAGGCTGGTATTGAACAAAGTGGTTTACATTTCCTTTAGTTTTACCAACTGGGTTTTTGCACATTCATTAAGCAAATTCACAAAGCTTTTTCATTCCTAAACATAAGAGCTTATTTACATTAGCATTGTTGTAATTGCCCTGTTAGATACATTCTGTTTGATATTTACAGACCCCTCATATCCTGACATAAACTGTTTCAACTCCTAACCTCAAAACGACGCTATAGAGCACTGCACACCAGAACAACTAAACACAAGAACAGTTTTCCCCCGAATGCCATCACTCTGCTAAATAAATAATTCCCTCAACACTGTCAAACTATTTACTAAATCTGCATTACTACTACTATTAAACTTCTCATCCTTCCTATTACCCATCTTCTCCCACTTATGATTGTATGACTGTAACTTGTATCCTTACAATTTATATTGATTGTTTCCTAGTATGATTTGATTGCTTATTTGTATCCTATGACTATCATTAAGTGTTGTACCTTATGATTCTTGACAAATATATTTTTTCTTTTTATGTATACTGAGAGCATATATGTTTTGACCCAAGCCTTGTTCAAATTAAACAAACACAAACTGTGTATAAAAGCAAATCTTTTTTAATACGGCGCTGGAAATTCTTTGCATTCCCAGCCAAGAGTCATTTAAACCTAATTGTCCAAGATAAAAACAAGCCCTTTCAAGGTTGTAAAAGGCTGCCAAGAACAGAAGTCTAATTACTGATAAATATCAACCAACAGAAGTTTCAAAAACAAACCGGAGTTCACAGGCTTCAATGAGGACTCAGAATCTAAAGAACTTCTTTGTTTACTGCAAAGAGCACATCTCCGAGGGCTGGTTTTTATCCCTTATGGGAGGGGTAATCACCTTCCAGCCTTACTCCTGAGTCGCCCTTGCTGCTTCAGCTGCCCTCACCTTCTAGCAGTTCTGTGCACATGTGCACTGGGCACAGGTTCCCCAGGGTCCCCTACTTCACTGCTTCCGGGCTCCAAAAGCTCCAAAGGCACTACCCCACTCCATTAGTCCTGGCCCCATCCCTGCATCAGATGCAGGACCCTCGTCCAAGTCCTCGCCAGACTCCCTGATTGGTTCCCTTTCATCCTCACTGTCAGAGATCTCTGCCATCTGCATCTGCTGCTGGCAAATCACAACAATATGCACCAAGACAAATTCCTTGTGTGTCCAATCACACCTGGCAAATAAATTATTCTATTCTATTCTATTCTATTCTATTCTATTCTATTCTATTCTATTCTATTCTATTCTATTCTATTCTATTCTCTATTCTCTATTCTCTATTCTATTTTCTATTCTATTTTCTATTCTATTCTATTCTATTCTATTCTATTTTCTATTGTATTAATATCCCCTCCAGGGGTTGCTTGTTCTGGGTTATTTCAGACAAATTGTAAAATTCTTGTTGACTCTCACACACAGGTTACTGCATTTTCCTGAGAAACTGTGGACTCCACTCTGAAGGAAGAGCAACTTATATGTATGGTCACCTATGCTGGTTAAAGAGGTGAGTCAGGAGTCACTTACTCCAACTTTTAAGCAATGTCTTTGTTCTATCTCGGAGGGTAGGCGCGATAACAGAGACGAGACATCGAATAGTGCCTCCAACCCTTTATTAGTGACTTCAGGAAAACAGAGCGAAAGGAATAACAACAGCAGCTCCTTTTATAGAGCTGGCTGCTGTCAAAGCGTCCAATGGTTTAAGTTTGCCGCGCTTGGAGCGTCCAATCGCGGCAGCCTGTTAACTAGCCAATCAAATCAGTCCCAAATGACCAATCGCGACTCGCTGTCAACGGACCAATCAAAAGTGCAGGATTACGAGCCTGCTTGAGGAACGGCTAGTCCTGTTTGCAGGCTTATGAGCCTGCTTAGTTCGGAACAGTCTTGATTAGGTTAACAGCATTACTCATTCTGAGGCCATTAGATGTGCTGGACTACCACTCCCATCATTCTCAGCAGATGGGGTCTTGCCTGTTGGGGATTATAAGACACGTAGTCTAGCAGGTGCCAGTTGTTATTACTACAACAATTCATAAAAGCTGCATAATTGCAAAACAACTCAAGGCAATGTACAATTTTTTTAAAAAAATCATAAAAGCAAACAGAAAAATTAAAAGCCAATAATGTTATAAAAAAAAAAAGTTAATCTAGCAGTGTTGTTAACTTTTAAGTTGTGTGGATTTCAACTCCAGCATACAGTAGCTGGCTGGGAAATTCTGGGAGTTGGAAATCCACGGATCTTAAAGTTGCCAAGTTTGCTCAAAGGTACATCAAGAACACACAAAACTGTCATGCCTATCTGAGAAAGGAGCCTGGCATACTGCCTACACAATCCAGGAACTAATGTAGCAGATAGATGGAAGTTTCACCTTTGAAGATTCCAGCTTTGTGAAACTCTTCCTTCAATGTACCATGGTAAGAAAACTTAACAAAAATTGTTAGTGCCAGAGCTTGCAATTCAGTACAGCTGGAGGGCACCTGATTCTGAAATCAGTGATGTGTACATGTATGCAATTTTTTGTTCTTTCTCCACCCTCAATTTAAACCTAAGATCAGAGACTCTGCAGCTTCTTTCCTGAACCACTCACCACACTTTGGTTTTTGTCATCAGAAAGTCTACAAAAAAAACCAAAAAACCCAGTGAAATCTGTTGTTATGAAAGGGCTTTTATTTTCTCTTGGATTTTGTAATAAAACAGGGAACAGCACTTTAATTGGCCTTGGGTGCAAATCTCCCTTAGATAGGATGCCTGTCAGTTTAGGAAATGTCCATAAGTAGATTTTGAAAAGAGAGCTTGTTTGCATGTGTGGTTATTTAATCTCCTCAGCTATAATTTAGATAAGATCAATTTACACAGGAAATGTCCTTCCTGGGTTCCCTATTTGAACGAGGCTCATCTTCATGCTGTCATAGCTCAAATACGTTAGAGAAGAACTTCATGTCATAAATGTTCAAATGCAACACAATCATAACGTTAATATTATGCCTTCCTGAAAAGACCCCACAGTTGCATTCAGTATATTTTAAATCTTGACCTATAACATTCTAGGACTGCAGAGCAAATAGAAGCCCTTGTGACAAGAAAATGGAAAGATGCTTGCCTCATTGCAACGTTGCTCCCATCGATTACAATAGGCCTCAAATCATCAGACACCTCACTTGGTTCCTCAGTAGAGCCCTGGGGAAATGGAAAGGGCAGGACCCCCGGTACTCCTCGAGCAGCAAGATTGGACTGAAAATATTGGGTCCCACTCTCTGGAGGTCTTTTCCCCATGAGAATCAATTCTTGCAGCAAATCATTCTCCGAAGCCTCTTGACCTAATTTCTCCAGCACTTCGCACACCTCCTTCTTGCTATAGCCCAGCTTATAGAAGAATTCAAGCTTGTTCTGTTGGGCTTCCATGTTTGCACAAAGATAGGAAATCCTGCAGGAATAGTACTTTATAAATTGGAGAATCAGATGGTATAGCTGGGTGCAGGGAATATTTGTGCTGCTTTTAGTCAGTAATGATCATCCACTGTAGCAAACTGACAATATGTCCTTTAGAGAGAGAGAAAACAAAAACAAAAATAACTATTTGGCTACAATGATAAATCAAAGAAGTGCCAATTAGATGATAAAAAAAAACTTCAGGATTAAGCAGTTTTTACAGTATAAAATTATTAATTGTGACAGACAATTGAAAAATTCCAAAAATACAATTGAAAAAGTCCAGAAATATTTCACAAGAAGAGTTCTCCGCTCCTCTACTCATTGCAGAATACCTTATGCCACCAGACTTGAAACTCTAGACCTAGAAAGCCTGGAACTATACCGCCTCCGGTCTGATCTAAATATAGTATATAAAATCATACATTGTAATGTCCTACCTGCAAATGAATACTTCAGCTTCAACCATAACAACACAAGAGCAAACAATAGATACAAACTCAAGGTTAACCGCACCAAACTTGACTGCAGAAAATACGACTTCAGCAACAGAGTGGTCAATGTTTGGAATACTCTACCTGACTCTGTGGTTTCTTCCCCAAACCCCAAAAACTTTAACCTTAGACTGTCTACTATTGATCTTACCCCCTTCCTAAGAGGCCTGTAGGGGGCGTGCATAAGTGCTCCAACGTCCCTGTCCTATTGTTTTTTTTAATTTTTCTTATAAGTATCTATCTCATGTATTCAAAACTATATTTATTCTTATACCTGTATCTTGCAAGCGACTGACAAATCAAATAAATACTAAAATACTAAATACAGAATCCACTTTTAAAGAAAATTATAAAAATGAAGTATTTACAAAATAATCAATATGTCTCTATTATTTATTTATATCCCACCTTTATTATTTCTTTTATAAACACTCAAGATGGCAAACATATCCAACACAACTTCCTCCTCCTATTTTTCTTACAACAACCCTGTGAGGTGGGTTGGCTGAGAGAGAGTGACTGACCCAAAAATCACCCAGTTGGCTATTATATTGCAAAGATATTTATTAAAATATCTATATAATTTTAATAAACATAATAAAAGTTTGTTTTCTATCCTTGAAGTGCATTGTTAAGCAAACCCTAACACTTCCCAGTTTTATATTCATATATATCAACAATATTCATATAATATTGCCAGGTGTTCAGAGACAAAAAGCTCTTGGAAGATACCTACTCATATGAACCTCCTCCTTTTTCAAACTGATGATCACTGTCAGAATGTGTAGCTCGCCTGAAGAACCTGGAAAAAATAATCCTAAATCATTTGTGAAAGGCTGATGCAGAGTTTTTGCTGCATAGGATTAAGTCTCCTCAAGTGACAATTTATCATACATCAATATAATGCTTTGTAAATATTAGATAAAACAAAACACCACTTCTATTCAGATTTCTCTTGAGTTAAAAAAAGCTCATGAGGATAAAATAGTCTTTACTTTACCTATCTCAGATTGTGTTAGCCTCTTTGACTTACCAGATGTGTGCTGCCTGTCTTGAGATGTTCTGAGCATCAGTAATTCTCTCTTATTAAATATAACCTCGAGGAAACCAAAATCCATCAGAACATCAGGTAATGTGCCTAAGATAGGTGTGCAAGAGTGACGTAGGCCAAATCCTGTGCATGTACATTCGCACGCAGATGCTTGACTTCAGCCTTATCTCTGATTACAACAAAGAAAAACAACTTCACCAGGGAGTTGCACTGTGGTTAGCAGAGGACAGATACCATCTCTTTTGCTGGTGAAGTAACAAATAACAAATGGTTAGCAATAAACAAACATTGTCCAGCGCTACTGAAAAAGAACTTGAGGCCCGATTATGAGGTAGGTGGGAGACGTTGCTTGTTTGATGGCTTGTTTAAGAACCGTTATGTAAAGAGAACCCACATCCTCTAAAGATTTTGAGCTCCAGCTTCTAGTGGTCCCTGTGAGGGGAGGGAAATTCAGCGTTGTTGTCGTTCTGCACATCCTCTTTTTCAAGGCAGAACTGCACTAAACTTCTAAATTTAGCTCATTATCATGTTGCATACCCTTTGAATTCGGCTAAATCCTGGACGCATTGAACAAACATCGCCCCCTCCATATTTTTTATTCACTTGTGTTACTTTTCTCCTTGTAAAGGGAAAAAAGACATTTTTTTTTCAGTTATTAGACATAGATGCAGGCCTCATATTCATTAAACAACTTATAAGCAAACTAAAGTTATAATACTTTCAAATAGTTACTTCAACTAACATACATGTTTTAACATATGCATAGCATTTATGGCTGCAACCATTTTTGTGGGGCCCTTGGTGCTCTGGAATCTTGGTTGTATGCTTGGAGATGTTGGAGTAGGTAATCTCTTCAGTGCTAGAAGGGAGTGGGGTTTGCTCTCTGTTTATATATAGTAACTTTCCCTGTCAGTGTTGAAGGGGGGTGTTATTTTTCTCCCTGGTACAGGTGAAACTCGAAAAATTAGAATATCGTGCAAAAGTTCATTTATTTCAGTAATGCAACTTAAAAGGTGAACCTAATACATGAGATAGACTCATTACATGCAAAGCAAGATAGTTCAAGCCGTGATTTGTCATAATTGAGATGATTATGGTTTACAGCTCATGAAAACCCCAAATCCACAATCTCAGAAAATTAGAATATTACATGCAATCAATAAAACAAAGATTGTACATAGAACAATATCGGACCTCTGAAAAGTATAAGCATGCATGTACTCAGTACTTGGTTTGGGCCCCTTTTGTAGCAATTACTGCCTCAATGCGGCTTGGCATGGAAGCTATCAGCCTGTGGCACTGCTGAGGTGTTATGGAAGACCAGGATGCTTCAATAGCGGCCTTCAGCTCTTCTGTATTGTTCGGTCTCATGTCTCTCATCTTTCTCTTGGCAATACCCCATAGATTCTCTGTGAGGTCCAGGTCAGGCGAGTTTGCTGGCCAATCAAGCACAGTAATCCCATGGTCATTGAACCAGGTTTTGGTGCTTTTGGCAGTGTGGGCAGGTGCCAAGTCCTGCTGGAAAATAAAGTCAGCATCCCCATAAAGCTCGTCTGCAGAAGGAAGCATGAAGTGCTCCCAAATCTCCTGGTAGACGGCTGCGTTGACCCTGGACTTAATGAAGCACAGTGGACCAACACTAGCAGATGACATGGCTCCCTAAATCAACACAGACTGTGGAAACTTCACACTGGACTTCAAGCATCTTGCAGTGTGTGTCTCTCCATTCTTCCTCCAGACTCTGGGTCCTTGGTTTCCAAATGAGATGCAGAAGTTGCTCTCATCAGAAAAGAGGACTTTGGACCACTGAGCAACAGACCAGTTCTGTTTTTCTTTAGCCCAGGTAAGACGCTTCTGATGTTATTTGTTGTTCAGGAGCGGCTTGACAAGAGAAATACGACATTTGAAGTCCATGTCCAGGATCTGTCTGTGTGTGGTGGCTCTTGATGCATTGATTCCAGCCTCAGTCCACTCCTTGTGAAAGTCCCCAACACTTTTGAATGGCCTTTTCCTGACAATTCTCTTCAGGCTGCGGTCATCCCTGCCGCTTGTGCACCTTTTTCTTCCACCCTTTTCCCTTCCACATAACTTTCTTTTAATATGCTTTGATACAGCACTTTGGAAACATCCAACTTCATTTGCAATTACCTTTTGAGGCTTTCCCTCCTTATGGAGGGTATCAATGATGGCTTTCTGCACAACTGTCAGGTCAGCAGTCTATCCCATGATTGTGATTCCTACTGAACCTGACTGAGAGACCATTTAAAGGCTCAGGAACCCTTTGCAGGTGTTATGGCTTAATTAGCTGATTAGAGTGGGACACTTTGAGCCTAGAATATTGAACCTTTTCACAATATTCTAATTTTCTGAGATTGTGGATTTGGGGTTTTCGTGAGCTGTAAGCCATAATCATCACAATTATTACAAATCATGGCTTGAACTATCTTGCTTTGCATGTAATGAGTCTATCTCATATATTAGTTTCACCTTTTAATTTGAATTACTGAAATAAATGAACTTTTGGACGATATTCTAATTTTTTGAGTTTCTCCTGTAGTTCCTTGATAATGGTAACATTTATTGTTTGTTTGCCTGTTATACAGCTATAACATTACAGTATAAATATATGTAAATAAGTTATGGCACTCAGGTATTGGTATAATTTGCTGTCACTGGCATAGAAATATACAAAAACGGTGCTAGGATTTACTAAAATATTGTGTCCTGGAAGATTACATTATAGGGCAAAACCTGGAGTGGGCAATGTTCATTTTCACAAATTGAAGAAAAAAACCCTTGAGGAATGAGATTGATCTATGTATAACTAGGTCCAGGTATACTGTCATAAGGACATCTTATTCTGTGAGTTTTTAAAATTCCAGGTTGCTATGGGCTGCTAACTAGACATCTCACCTGTGATTTTCGAGGGATCAACCCTTGCCTCTAATTTGCCAAGGAATGAATTTATACTTGATCATTTTATTTCTGAATGTATGATCTGCCAAATATTGCAGTACATTTGAAAAAGTGTTTATTTAGTCAAACCTATTTGCCTGCTTCCTTGTTTGAGAAGCATTTTATAAAAATTTGCAACCCTCACCCCACTCCATCTCCACCTCCTACTAATTTTCTGTATTAATTCTCTCTTATCCTACAATGAACATGTTCCAATCATCACCTTTCCATAGTTGGTCAGATTGAGTGGCTGTTTCTCAACCTGCAGCTTTGGCACACAGGAAAGGAGAGATATGGTTGTTTTCCTTTGGTCGTGGCTGCTTAATTTTATTCCCCTGGAGTCTGTCAACATTCGGTGCCATTATAGTCTCACACTCTGAAAGCAGGGAGGGAGGTATTTCCTATGCTTACATTTTTTATTCTTAAAATACTTTGCCTGCAAACTTAATGTTTCTCAGGTCTACTGACCTCCCCCTTGGATTATTTGATTCTAAAGATATATTAAATAACCTGGGCCCCAAAAGCTAGCTCTGGGTACTCCCTTGTATATGTGTTCCTGATGTTTTGGTCCAGTGTGAACCCCAAAAATGATCGTTCTAGGCAGAAGTGATTCAGAGAAGGGGAAAAGAGAGACATTAATAGTGGTAATAAGGTAGTAACAGGAAGAGAAGGAAGGACAAGTGTTGGGAATATCACAGATGGACTGGCCAGTAGGATATGCCACGTTAGGGCCCTATTCCTGTTGAGACCTTTGTTAAGCTAGTTAGTACATCAGTGGTGAATGAGGGGAGAGAGGGCAAGGGCTAAGAATATTGGGAGGGTGGTAGAGTGTTGGGATAGGTTTTACACGGAACCATGCAGGGAAGAGAAAGGGCAATGGACACTAATCTTGACTTCTAAAATTACTCTAGTTTTTCCCCCCAGATTCTGTTTCTCACTAAAAGGGTTTGGGTTATCTTTGCTCAGCCATAAGCTAAAATGACTGAGAAGTTGGTAATACAATAGTTTGTATCAGGGTCAAGAAAAAAAACACCTAATGTTTTCCATTCTGTGCCCACCTGTTTAATTTCCTTTAAGACTGCAGAGATAACTCTACTCTCCAAATAGATGGACTCTATGCCAGTTCCTTGCTAGTACTCAGGAGGGTTTCTCAGAGCAGGATAGAAGCATACAAGACTACACATTAAGCAAAGACTTAAAGGTGCTGCTTGGTTCAAATTCGGTCCTGCTTCCACTCCTCCACCGAATGCTTTGGCAGAACTAGGTCAAAAGAAAATGGTCTGTACTCACAGGAAGCGAAGTGCCTTTGCTTTAAGAGACCTAGGTTGGCTTTGCCTTCACCGTACCCCAAGGAGATGCAGAAGGTTACACTGCATTTGCAAGCCTCAAGGAAGTTCAGATATTTTTTTAAGGCATACTGTTATTGATTTTGACAAAGTGCAATGTGCAGATTGTAACTCATTTCATGGGAACATTTCTACTTCCTTAATGGGCAACTCCTCATTTTACTTACTACAATACACATACTTCGACTTAGCAAAACAGGGAGGGATAGCAGGATTACAACACAAAGGTCATTGCCCATGTGAGAGAAAGAAATCATAATCAGCAGGGTTTTTAGCTTCATTAGAATGTTTAAAACCGACATATTAATCTTATCAACAAATGTGTTTTGTTCTCTCTCTTGCTTTTTGCTGCATTGTGCATTGCAAATTTATTAAACTTTCCTTTGTTTCCCTTCTCAGCACACAAGCCTTGGTGGAACTGCCATGAGAAACACATATGGAAATAGGCTGGGTGCTTTTACTGCTCGTTATTTTAACACAGGGCTCTTAAACCGTTTAGTAAAGAAGGTAGAAGTTGCTGAAGTGATCTGATAGATCAGGCCTAACACGAAGGGTTCCAGCATTGGTTTAAAATGCATATTCCTCTAAGAAAACCTGAACATTTATAATGTTTATTTTCTGTCTTGTAGCTTCTGAAAGAAAATTTTCTACCCTGCAATCATGGTTAACATGAGAGATCTTAAAGCAATCCAGTTTGTCAGATCATGGATAACCAGGGGAGGATTTTGGTGGGATTTAAAACAGAGATGTAAGCCTTCTTCAGCCAAGGGCCGTTCTTGATCAGCAGGGTAGGGCAGCAATTAGTAGGTCAAAATATATTAGCTTTATAACTTAATGAAATTAATGATGCCTCACTGTACAAAGTATGCTTTTCCTTTTCTTTCATGCTAATAAAATTACAATTTGCTAGGATCTAGGAGCTCCATGTACCTCTCATTTGTCCATTCTGATTTAGAATCATTGTGATGATTAATAATCAAGTTCTTTCACTGCACTGTTTAATGAACAAATAGTCCATAGAAAATGACATGCATTTGTGATGAGTTTTAAGGGAGATCAAATCACTTGCTTTAAAAAAAAGCATAGTTGCTCATGAAAAGGTCTAATTAAAAAAAACGTAAAAGACAGAAAAAATTCTGTTACAGATTATAGCTATAGTTTAACCGGCATGTTTGTTGATACTGTTTGCTTATACGAACAAGGTGTCTTCCAGAACAAATCATCTATGTCTTTCTCATTGGCATTTAGGGCTTGCCAAATTTTTCAACTTTTAATTTCCAAACATTAGGGGTGCTCGAAAGTTATGACATGCCTTGGGGATCGTAAAGATATTTTGGTTACTTTAATATAATCGAGATGTGCTTGGTAAGTAACTACATAAGTATCATAACTTTTTAAAACATTTTGTTTATTTCATTTGAATATTATCATTTGCTTTCATAAAATGAATCCAGTTAGAAGGAAAAATAAAACCTACCACATACGTATATGGGGGCTGATAGCTTTTTAAAATTAAGAATGTACAATTTTACATTACCAAACAAAGCTACATTTTAAAACCCAAATACAAACCCACAGGATTTGCTACAGCTTCTTAACTGACATAGATTTACTAATATATTTGCTGAAATAGATTAATGTCGCTATATTAGATGGAAGTGAAACTAACGGTTTGCATGGAGATATTGCAGTTAGTACAAAATGTGCACAGTCGCTCTTTTGTGGCAATCTAGATATATCAGTATTGTATATACTGTTACAGTGCAGAGTGAGGCTTCTCACTTTCTCTCTGAAACAACAGGTATTTAGAGCCACTTCGATGCAAGTACCAACTGCATGGGCTAGTACCATACCAATAATGAACTGTGTATTGTACTAGTATATATTTCCACATTTTTGTATATAAAACTTCAATATTATCTATTTGTATAAATACAACAGGGAAGCCTCAACTGGCAATAAAAATAGATCTCCCTCATTCGTGTAATTGTACAAGCTTCACTAATTAAGAGTTTCCTACGAGAGAAAAAAGGAAGTAAATTCATCCAGTCTTGAATAAAGTCCTCCATGTTCCTTTTAGAGTTAAAAGAGATTTGGAATTCCTTTCTGGCAGTAGCAGCAGCAGGCCGCTAACAGTAATAACGGGAATGCCGCAGCTTCCTTGTTACTGTACTACAGCACGAATTTCTCTAATCTCTGCAATCTGCCAGTTTTCAAAGGCAACAAAAACAACAGAAGAATCCACCTGATGAAGATATTCTCCCACAGAACTCTTATGAGGCAAAAATCAGAGGGCGCTTAAAGATCTTCTGGAAGAGAAGGGAAGACACTGGCAGTTTCTAAGGCAGATAAATGCCAAGAAACAGTTGCTTTACATTAATCCGTCCTTATTTATATTTGGACTTTTCCTTATCTTTGGACTTTTTGGGGTTCCTGCCAGACTTTTTCTCTTCATAATAGTCTCTTTCCCAGGCTTCCTCGGAATGCTTGTCTTTAGACTTTTTGTGATGGCTTTCTCTCTCCCGAGAATGGCTCCGACATCTCTCTCGCTTGTCACTTTTTCTTTTCTCCCTAGTGAATTCTTCTTTGTGCTTTCGGCTGGGCTCCTGAGAGGAGGAGGAGGAGGAGGAAAATGCAGTTATTTGAATTGAGGGAACAGAAGAGTGGAGAAGAGGAGCAGGTAGAGTGCTAACAGTTTTCAAAGTCTGCCTGCTGATTTTCGTGCTAGTCCTACAGGATGAATAGTAACATACCAATTAATTGTAAGTAAATAATGCCTAAATAGACCTTTAAAGGAAACCTCTGGGAAGAACAAAATAATCTATCCTACATAGGAACCAAAATAAGTGGGGTTTTCTAAATTTGTGTTTTGAAGCTTGTAAAACATTTTTTTTTCCAAATATTAAAATAACATTTTAAGCTACTGTATTTTCTATTATGATTCAGTTTACATAATTTGGGATAATTTCAATTTATTTTTGTTAAAGATAGGAAATATAAAATTTTTAAAAATGAGAAATTGCTGTGCTTCATGATTTAAAATACAGCATTAGTCAATATACCTAATATATGATTGCTGACTTAAACATAACAATCTGTCTCTATCTTATCAAATGAAGGCAGTGATTGTCAATTTTAGAGCCCATTGCAGAGCTTTTTGAGTACCTCCACAGAAAATTAACTATGAGGGGTCTATAGCAGGAGGTAAGGTAAAAAGGCCACTGCATTTATTATGGACTAGAACACCTGTAATTCCTGACCACTCGGCGTGCTGACATGGGTGGCAAAAACTGTAATCCAAGGTATCTGGAAAGAAAATTGCTTTCCCCTGCAGATGCTATTGAGATCAATAAATCTGTAATGACTTAAAAATAATAACTAGATTTGAACTTTGACATGTTGTAAAAGGATGTTATGTGCTCTGGAAACAAGCATAATAGCTCTGTGGGGATTCCTTTTTTCTTGCTGCTATTGTATGTTCCCTCCCACCCTTTCTTCCCCGGATAAGATCAAGCCACAGAGAAGAAAGAAGGAAGGAAAGGAACAGAACATCAGATTTATCTATGAAACTTTGAAAGAGCCAACTAAGGTAATTTAAGCTGTTAGAGTGTTATTACACTTTATTTTTCTTGGCCAATATCAGATATTTCACTCTTGTTTACTAACTAGAGTCTGTTAGGATGAAAAGAATATGAAGACAAAGATGTGTCTTTGTATGTATATTCCTATGTTCCCATATTTCACAAGTTATTGAAACTATTGACCATATGATTAAGTGGGAAACACCCTACACAAAATCATTAAAACAAGGCATAGCACATTTGAAAATAAATCCACCTAAACCTACAAATGTATTATACATAGTGAAACAAAAAGTGTTGCGAAGGCTGTTTATAAAACAGTTTAACAAATGCTCTGTTTGTGAATCCCAAGGTTTAATGACCTGCATTACAACATTACAACTACTTGGGAATGGTATCTGATTTGATTTTCAGCTAAGCTTTTCTCTTGCTGATTTCACTTTACAGTTCCTCGTGCAGCAGCTCTGATGACCTGTAAGAATATGGTTCCGTGTGTATTTCCTCAAAAGTTTTTCCCAATCTGTTATCATTAGCAAAATGTCTCTTTGTTTTTCAGTGTTGAATCAGATTTGTTGCCGTGGCCAACAGCATACATCTTAATAAATTGTAATTTTTAAAAAAAACATGTTCTAGGATAATTCCTAGCAAAACAAAACCAAAGGTTTCAATTCAGACTTTGTTTTTGAGAATATTTCTTTCTTTCTAGCACTTCAGGGTTTGGTTTTGTTTTCATAACAATCACATACGATAAAGTATTCCAGCACTTTTTTGTTGTATGATTTGCCTATTTTTGTGATTATTAACAGTTATTTATTTTTCTGATCCTGTAATCCCTTTTGTCGGGGCAACTGAATGGAGCTGAGCATTTCCTCGCTGGATGCCCCTCCTGATGCTTACTATTTATTCTTTGCATCTTGACAGAGAAACATCTGGTGCTGCCTAGGATCAAACTCTCAACCTCCAGAGTATGAGGTAAATATCTTCACCTCTAGGCCACCGCACTGCTATTTATTAACAGTGTTTTATATACCATCTGTAAAATATTTATGCCAATTTTCTCTTAAATTATACTCAAAAGATTGGAACCCATCATTTTGTCTACTAAAGGCAACTCATTTACTCATGCCTATTTACTAGCAGAAGACATTTTTAAAAATACCCTTTTCTTTCACTATGAAAGGTATTCCAGTTTATTGATGTTTTTAGGTCGCACTTTAGAACAATATTAATAGGTTTTGGTTTCAAGGAGTTTGCATTTTACAATGTATCAGGAAAAGACTATTTGCTATCCAAAGGAAATCAAATTTCAGGTAAAAAAGACATCCAAGCAGAAATGCACAATTAAACTAGAAAAAAAAAACCACTGGACTGGATAAAAAGGGTACACTCAAGGGTAAAGAGAGA